GGAAGCAGTGTTACCTATGTTAGCCTATGGAAGCAATAAAACAGATGCTTTTATCCTTTTTGCTAAATGTGAGTGGTCTGGCAATTCTTCTTAATTATTGCAATTTGTAATAGCAGTATTACACTATCATCATTTTTTTCCCTTGCACTGCTGTGGAGTTTGGTCCATAACCTGGGTTTAATTAATTGTGTGAGGGTGCACTTGTGCGCTGGGGTTTTCTGTATATCTATTCCTTGCAAGTTTGAGGCTGCATTTTTGTAAATGGAGTTGGAAATTTTGTCAGGATCAATGGTGTCCTCAATGCTGAGAAATAAGGGCAGATACTTATCCATCATGCCATACCATCATGCCATACCATCAAGGAGGCATGTTATTGGCCCCAAATCTGTTCTGCAGCAGGACAACAACCTCAAACATACATGGAGCTTGTCTGGGATTACATGAAAATACAAAAGGATTTAAGGCAGCCTACATCCACAGATCTGTGGTTAGTTCTCCAAGATGTTTGGAACAACCTACCTACCTGTTGAGTTCCTTCAAAAACTGTGTACTTAGAAGCTGCTGTTTTGAAGGCAAAGGGTTGTTATACCAAATTTTTATTTGGATTTCTGTTCATTTCCTTTCCATTCTGTTAATTGATAAAAATAAACTGTTAACTATTAACACTTTTACTTCTGAAAGCATTCTTCATTTACAGCATTTTCCACACCTGCCCAAAACATTTTCATAGTAGTATATAAGGAAATCAATTTGGATGAGGGAACATCAATAAAATGAGATTGTAAAAGGAGTTAAAAATGACAGTAAAATATAATTAGTACCTGAAAAAGTATACAGGTATTTATAAAAAAAATGAGCAACAAGCAAGGGACAACCGATTTGGATTTAAAATGGAAATAAGAGGGGGAATATGTTGTAATGATAGTGAGGTCTGACAAACCCCAAGCTGTGTGGAGAGAATAGGGGGGTGCTAATGAATTCAATATCACCTTAATTTTTTCCAAAGTTCACAAGTTGGTAAAAGGGTGATCAAAATCTCTTGACTGTGCTAGGCATTCAAGTTGACACATTTGGCAAAACACAATCCAGCTAGGAAGAATTCAGTATTATAAACTTCAACTAGCCAGGATCCTGAAAGAACGTCTGACGAGCCCCTATTGTAAATGGATCTATCACCAGAAGAAAAAGCAAAGCTCCTTAAATGTCCCAGGGGTCCCTGTGAACATAAAGACCTAGGGGGGAAAAGGGAAGAATCCAGGAATAGCCAATGTGTATATCCCTACAATGATATCTATAGAGAAGGGTATATTTGGAGCACACTTTAAGAAATTTCTTGTGGGTATCCATGAGTACACTTGTAAGTTTCTTATTGACTAAGAATGTGTCCATACATTGTTTAACTTCCATAAAGTATATAAATAGTTTTAGCAATAGTGATAGCTTAGCTGCTAAAAGCACTTACGTAGTTAGCTTAAATTGAGATTTAGCGGGAGTGGGAGGTTTGAGATGGTGAAGAGCAAGCGAAGGGTCGTAAAGAAGAGGACATTGGAGAAAAGTATGCAGGAGTTTAAATACTTTGCTCCACAATTTGCCTAACATGGTGCAGCCCAGCAGATCTGAAGCACTTCGCCAACAGCATTACAGCTTCTAAAACAGAGAATGCATGATTTTTCAAAAGCTATAGAGGTCATTAAAAGTCATTTTCTTCTCTTAATAGTGTTTTCCAGCCCCATTGACGAATGTCTTTTTTGTATACAGTGACTTTATATCACATGTCCTCAGTGGTGTATTTAGGTTTTGTGCTGCCCTAGGCAACACAAAAATTGTCTGCCCCCACGGACACCGACCAACACCACCACCCCTTCCCCCTCCGCAGAGAGAGCCTGACCTTGACCAACAACACCCCTGCCCCCCGCCTGTGAGAGCCTTCCATCATACCCCCTGGCAATAGAAAGAAAGACACCAATCTTCACAGCTCCGGACATCCCCGGGAATGAAAGTCAGGCTCTACGTACACCATCAAGCAACCTGCAGCCTCTCTCGGATCCCACCTGGTTCCTATGGCCCTTCTTCCATCCCTTCTTCTGGGGGGAGGTGCTGCCCCCCTGAAAAGTGCCACCTTAGGTAAGTTCCCTGTGTGCCTTGTGTAAAATACACACCTGCATGTCCTCACATACCACAGGTCAGTCTTTTTAAGAACTTCAGCTTGTTGTTCCTGCCTTCTGTATAGGACAGAATAGAAATAGGACAGTATAGGACACTACTGCATTCTGTAAAAAAAAAGATGTATAGATTGTCTACAAAGTCTGTAGTTCAGGGAGTATCGCACCAAAAATGAGATTTTTGTTGCAGGGGATGCTCAAAATCTGCCTTGTATCTTAGTGCATTCTTCTGGGAAAATCAGTGAGCCAATCACACAAGCAGGAAATTACATTTTGGAGGGGGGTAGTTCTGTACACCATCTGTGTACAGAATACCTTCAGGTAGCCATATTGCATTGCATTTTACAGAAAATTACAGCACTGCAGATTAAAAAGGAAGGATCATTTTTAATAACATTTAATTACAATATGACTTGTATAGTAATTGTACACACTATGGGCTCATTACACAAAGAGTTAGTTTCCTTTTTAAAATCTCAGATAAAATACCTCAAAGAAAGGTCAGTTTACTAAAGATTACCGCAAGCAATATCATGGTCATGTGACTCATTTACATAGATTATTGCATGCGGTAAAAAAATGTTGAATTCACAATAAATAAATAACGGTTATGCGGTATTTAATGCAAAAAGAAAAAAAATATATCACAATTATACATGCAGTAAGCTGTTAAGTCCAGTTCACAAATGGAACAGAAAGTAAAAAAAGATGCAATATTTATCACCATGGTTTTGCTGGAGGTATCACATGCGGTATTTTTTCAAATACATTGAGGGGGTCCCCTCCAATCCATGCCAGGCCCTTCGGGTTTAGAATGGATTTTAGGGGGAACCCCACACCAAAATTTTTTAAAACAATGGCCCTTTGGGTCTGCTGTGGATTTTAAGGGGAGCCCTGCACCAACATTTTTTTAAAAACTGGCGTGGGGTCCCCCCTAAATTCATACTTGACCCTTAGGATTGGTATGGATTTTGGGGAGACCCATGCACCATTTAAAAAAAGTTTTGACGTGAAGTTCCCCAAAAATCCACACCAGACCTGAGGGCCATTTTTTATTTTTAGTTTTGGCGTGGGGTTTTCCTTAAAATCCATACCAGGCCCCCATGCTGATTTTTTCCTTGGTTTTTAATCGCCGGCATGCTTTGTCTACATTCAGCTGTCAGCAGGAAACCCACTGACAGCTAATAAGTCATCCGCTGTTAAGGTTGCTGCAGATGCCTTCCTTAACAACTAGCTAGCGTGCAATAAATTACCGCTTGAAAATATGCGATAAATACCGCAATACTGATATTTTACAGCAAGAGTTATTTACCACAAAATTCTTAGTGAAATGCATATTTGCAAAAGATTTACTGCATGTGTTTAGTTTACCGCTTTCGTTATTCAACTCGTAGTGAATTGATCGCAGAGTTTTTCAAAAACTTTTTTGCAGCTCACACTGCTAAAATAAAGCATGAGTTATATTATCAAAATGTGAGGTATTTATTATTATTATTATTATTATTATTATACAGGATTTATATAGCACCAGCAGTTTGCTTGTGCTTTACAATATAACAGGAGACAATACAGCAATGATACAGTTCAATACAAGAGGGATAGGAGGGCCTGATCCTTGGAGCTTACAATCTCATGAAACCATTTGGTATTTAATCTCATGATGTTATATCCAGTGGGATGGATACAGTGGGGAAAGGACTAGAACCCCTGTCAGTTTTTTTTTGCTAAAAAAGAGGTAAAATGGTTTAAACCATAGAAATCTGCCAACTTACTAAGTCAGTGAGCTCCCTGCAGCATATGTATTAATACAAAAAAAAAAAAAAGGTGACTGGAATAGCACGCAAAGGGATGCTGCTTTCACAGGACACATGTGGTGTATCAAAAACAACTAAATTGGCAGACAACTAATTTGGTAAAAACAAAATATATTTATAAATGTCAAGTATTGAATGAAAATAGGATAAGAATATGCAAGCATACACACTATATTGCCAAAAGTATTGGGACGCCCCTCCAAATCATTGGATTTGGGTGTTCCAGTCACCTCCATGGCCACAGGTGTATAAAATCAAACAGTTTGAACTGGCTTTTCTTATCCCCCTTTGTTGATAAGATATACATATCCTTGTTCCTTGCCAATAAAAGCCGATATTAGATTGGGGTAGGCTGGCAAGTTGAACTGGATAGTTCTACTTTTTTGGAAATTTTCTCACGTAGTGACAGCCCCCCATGTTCACTGTTTAAAAAGCCAGTTATAGACCTGGGCAGGTGATCAGTTTTTTCTTTGTATGCTTTGTAGGTTCAGTGGGTGCACTGGACTCCCTAGCTGCCGTTGTGCAATATGCTGGGTGTCAGGTGCGCTCCCATAACCTTTTTAATGAAGGGTGGGGCTCCCCTCATGTTTATCTGCCCCTGTTTCTATCCATTTAAATGCATGTGCCTCCACTGTGAGGACTCTTTAGACTTGTAGAGTTAGGACCACAGATACTCAGGGTGCCGTGACGCGGCTCTGTGGCTTACGTATGTATTTGCAAATGTGTGCTAACTAAACCCCTGTTTTTAAACGCATGTTTCCAGACAGGTCAATTTGGTTTTTGATAGTTGGCTAACTGGCTGACAGTTTGAACTGGCTTTTCTTATCCCCCTTTGTTGATAAGATATACATATCCTTGTTCCTTGTCAATAAAAGCTGATATTAGATTGGGGTAGGCTGGCAAGTTGAACTGGATAGTTCTACTTTTTTGGAAATTTTCTCACGTAGTGACAGCCCCCCCATGTTCACTGTTTAAAAAGCCAGTTATAGACCTGGGCAGGTGATCAGTTTATTCTTTGTATAAAATCAAACACCTAGGCATGCAGACTGCTTCTACAAACATTTGTGAAAGAATGGGTCGCTCTCAGGAGCTCAGTGAATTCAAGCGTGGTACTGTGATAGGTTGTCACCTGTGCAATAAGTCCATCCGTGACATTTCCTTGCTACTAAATATTCCACGAACAACTGTTAGTGGTATTATAACAAAGTGGAAGTAGCTGGGAACAACTGTAACTCAGCCACAAAGTGGTAGGCCACGTAAAATGACAGAGCGGGGTCAGCGCATGCTGAAGCACACAGTGTGCAGATGTCACCAACTGTCAATAGCTAAAGATCTGCAAACTTCATGTGCCTTCAGATTAGCAAAACAACGTAGAGAGCTTCATGGAATGAGTTTCCATGGCTAAGCAGCTGCATCCAAGCCTTACATCATTGGTTGATGGGGACTGGATCAAGCCATCTTTAGTCCCCTGGTCAAGAAGACACAGGTCGATCAAGTTCATGCACCTCTTCTCCAGACTGAATCAATGTAATACTTGTAAATTGTCCTTCATAACTGAGGTCCTCCATCCTCCTTATTAATGTTTTTTGCCTTTTCTGAATTCTTTCTAATTCAAGGACATTCTTTCTTTGGATCGGTGATCAAAACTGAACTTCACATTCAATACAAGGGTTCATCAGTGTTTTAAAAAAGGGGCAGCATTATGGATTTATCTCTTGGAAATATGCTCTTGTTAGAGGCAGATTGACATTGCATGCTGTTGCTGTGATCTGCAAGGACCACCAAATCCTTTTCGTTTGCAGAATCACCTAGAAGAGCCCCCCTCAAAGATTATTATGCATGAATATTTTTAGTGGTCGAGTGCATAACTTTCATTTTTTTCAGTATTGAACCTCTTCTGCCATGTAGTTGTTTAACCCACTATTTTATAAAGGTCCTCCAGGAATAAAAAGTAAAAAAAAAAAGGAAGTCCAACAAGCCCACACTATCCATGACTTCCAATATGGCCAACACTCACCAAATAGAATCGACTCCTAGCTGATAAGGCTTAAGAGTCAAACAAGCTTTTCAGGGAAGATGTGTCCTCCAAATGAATCAGGGAAAGAAAATTCCTGCTTGACAATCTCCAAACGACCACCCAAGGATAATGGTGATCAATAATCTCATCAGTGAAGTCTATGCAAGGCTCTGGGATGAGAACGCCCTGTGGGTGGGGCAAAACGCATTGACGCACTTCGCCCCACCCACAGGGCATTCTCATGACCTTGAAGGTCTTGAGAACGACCTGTGGGTGGGGCGAAACACATTGACGCACTTCCGGCCTGCTTTCATAATGTCCCGCGTCACTTCCAGTGAGTGGAACTCATGCTGGGCGGTGCGTTACAAGCTGCCATCTTTGGAGTTGATCCTGTCATTCCTTGCTATACCAGGCTGTGAGATCTCTGTGATGAGATGTGGAAGCAGTGTTACCTATGTTAGCCTATGGAAGCAATAAAACAGATGCTTTTATCCTTTTTGCTAAATGTGGGTGGTCTGGCAATTCTTCTTAATTATTGCAATTTGTAATAGCAGTATTACACTATCATCATTTTTTTCCCTTGCACTGCTGTGGAGTTTGGTGAGAGGAGAAGGCAGGAGCGAGTGGAAGGAATATTTAAACCCTATATGGTGGGAAGGAGTACTGAAGGCTTCCAAGAAAGGGGGCTTAGGATCCCAAAATATCCTAAAAGGCGCATTACTCACCATCATCTGGTGAGTGCAGTTGATGTTGGTTTTGTTCACTGGTGATTGGTGGAAGCAATATTTCATTAGGATATCTGTTTTTTCACAATCCGTTGGGAGAAAGGACTTTTCTTTAATATAATTTGGACACTTTTGAGTATTTTATCACATTTGGTTGATGTCACTATATAATTAATTAACTTTTTTTGTCATTTATGCTGTATAATATTTATGGCACTGTTTTAGTCAGGGGGTGTTTTGCGCTGTTTTTTATATATTTTTATTTTTTGGTATAGTTACCTGTGTGCAGCAGCAATCCATAACCTGGGTTTAATTAATTGTGTGAGGGTGCACTTGTGCGCTGGGGTTTTCTGTATATCTATTCCTTGCAAGTTTGAGGCTGCATTTCTGTAAATGGAGTTGGAAATTTTGTCAGGATCAATGGTGTCCTCAATGCTGAGAAATAAGGGCAGATACTTATCCATCATGCCATACCATCAAGGAGCATGTTATTGGCCCCAAATCTGTTCTGCAGCAGGACAACAACCTCAACACATACAGCTAATGTCATTAGGAATTATCTTCAGTGTAACAAAGAAAGTGTCCTGAAAGTGATGGTTTGGCCCCACAGAGCCCTGATATCATCATGGAGCTTGTCTGGAATTACATGAAAATACAAAAGGATTTAAGGCAGCCTACATCCACAGATCTGTGGTTAGTTCTCCAAGATGTTTGGAACAACCTACCTGTTGAGTTCCTTCAAAAACTGTGTACTTAGAAGCTGCTGTTTTGAAGGCAAAGGGTTGTTATACCAAATTTTTATTTGGATTTCTGTTCATTTCCTTTCCATTCTGTTAATTGATAAAAATAAACTGTTAACTATTAACTCCTTTACTTCTGAAAGCATTCTTCATTTACAGCATTTTCCACACCTGCCCAAAACATTTTCATAGTAGTATATAAGGAAATCAATTTGGATGAGGGAACATCAATAAAATGAGATTGTAAAAGGAGTTAAAAATGACAGTAAAATATAATTAGTACCTGAAAAAGTATACAGGTATTTATAAAAAAAATAAGCAACAAGCAAGGGACAACCGATTTGGATTTAAAATGGAAAATAAGAGGGGGAATATGTTGTAATGATAGTGAGGTCTGACAAACCCCAAGCTGTGTGGAGAGAATAGGGGGGTGCTAATGAATTCAATATCACCTTAAATTTTTTCCAAAGTTCACAAGTTGGTAAAAGGGTGATCAAAATCTCTTGACTGTGCTAGGCATTCAAGTTCACACATTTGGCAAAACACAATCCAGCTAGGAAGAATTCAGTATTATAAACTTCAACTAGCCAGGATCCTGAAAGAACGTCTGACGAGCCCCTGTTGTAAATGGATCTATCACCAGAAGAAAAAGCAAACTCCTTAAATGCCCCAGGGGTCCCTGTGAACATAAAGACCTAGGGGGGAAAAGGGAAGAATCCAGGAATAGCCAATGTGTATATCCTACAATGATATCTATAGAGAAGGGTATATTTGGAGCACACTTTAGGAAATTTCTTGTGGGTATCCATGAGTACACTTGTAAGTTTCTTATTGACTAAGAATGTGTGTCCATACATTGTTTAACTTCCATAAAGTATATAAATAGTTTTAGCAATAGTGATAGCTTAGCTGCTAAAAGCACTTACGTAGTTAGCTTAAATTGAGATTTAGCGGGAATGGGAGGTTTGAGATGGAGAAGAGCAAGCGAAGGGTCGTAAAGAAGAGGACATTGGAGAAAAGTATGCAGGAGTTTAAATACTTTGCTCCACAATTTGCCTAACATGGTGCAGGCCCAGCAGATCTGAATCACTTCGCCAACAGCATTACAGCTTCTAAAACAGAGAATGCATGCTTTTTCAAAAGCTGTAGAGGTCATTAAAAGCCATTTCCTTCTTCTCTAATAGTGTTTTCCAGCCCCATTGACGAATGTCTTTTTGTATACAGTGACTTTATATCACATGTCCTCAGTGGTGTATTTAGGTTTTGTAAGGAAAACTCATACAAATGAGCGCAGAGAGGCCACTCCAGGTGGAAACATGTGAACAGTTAATCATGAGCTCACCACTGCTGCCTTGTTAATCATATGCATGATGAAGAGAACTGGAAAAAAAAGCGCTGTGGAAAATGCTCTCAGACAAGCACCTTAGTGGAGGTGCATCTTTATTGTGTAGATAAAGTAGCAAGTATAATAATAAATTATTACCAGCCTGAAGTGGACAGTGTGATTCCAATAGACGGCCCGTCCGCTCTGAGGGGAGCTGAGATCAAAGAATGCTCCTGTCGGCTTCAAATCACGTGGTGTCAGCGTACCAGCGTCCTGGGTGGTGTCACCATGGCAAACGAAGGCAGTGTCCGGCGTAGGCTTCAGCTGGGAGCATATGTGGGGTTACCAAGACGACATGTTTCGCGCAGTTGCGCTTTGTCAAGTCTCTGGTAACCATGGCCGGCGGCCATTATATAGAAGACCATTAAAGGGAAGGCTGGCTGAGTGTAATTAGCAGGGGATGGGGTGTCAATCAGAGCGGACGGCTCGTCCTGAAGCAATGCTGAATACAAATTTAAAGGTACAGATTGCAAGTTATAAAAAATGATATGTATAAAAACAATAGCATTGGAAAGCATGATATACTTTCATCTTTAGTGAAATAAAGGTAATACAATAACAAAAAAAAAAAAAAAAAAAAAAAAAAAAAACACACAAGTTAAAAATGACATCGCTGGTTCATGGAAGCTATGTCAAAAATTGCGTTTACAGTGAGGTAATTATGGGTATATGGGCAAAGAAGGGAGTAGGGAGAAGTGAATGCTAGGCATATGAAAATGACTGTATCAAAGGTATATGAAAATGACTGTATAAAAGGTATGACTAAAAGGAATATAATAAAATCAATCCTGGTATCAAATTAGGTAGCTCATATGTTCATAATTAAATAAATATAATAGATGCGTAATAACATGTATTCGTAATTGAGTGCACAGAATATATACATGGTGACAGTGCAGATTAAAAAACAAGGATTAAAAAGAAGACAATACTGTATGTAATAAAAAACACACTGGAGGATCCTAGTTCCGGGGACTAGAAGTCAAACTTGTTAAATAATGCTATGGATTTCAAGATCCTCATTGAGACCATTGGGGGTCATAGAACCTAATTTGTAGATCCAGAACGTCTCTCTCTTACACAAACGGGCTAGTCTTTCATTGTCAGTAAATGTACCCTTTGGAATATGTTCGATTGCTAAGACCTCAAGAAGACTGAAATTATTTTGATGGGATTGCAAAAAGTGCCTAGGGACACTATGCTTATCGCATCCATCTCTTATAAGTCTTCTGTGCTCCCCTATGCGTTTGCGTAGAGGGCGTGTGGTTCGGCCTACATATAGGAGCTTACACGGGCATGTGAGAACGTATATGACGTGGTCAGTTGCACACGTTATAAACTGACGAATGTGGTAGCTGTTGCCCTGGGAGTCCAAAAACTGTGATCTACCATGGGTGATGGACTTACAGGTGAGACAACCTCTTTTGTTGCATCTGTAGATACCAATTCTGTCGTCAAA